TAACTTCTGGAGTTTTGCTTAATTACAAGAACAAAAGAACTTGCTACGCAGTAGCCTTGAGATTCTGTGACGGACCGGGGAAAACTTAAAACTTGGAGCCAAACTGGCTCCATTCCAAACACAAGTCGCAGCGAAATGACCGCTGTGTCCGCACCTGAAGCAGACTCTCGGTTTTTGACCGGTTTCTTTACCTTTCTCCGGTCCTTCTCGGCTAAGGTTGGGCTTCTGTTGGTCTGTTTTATCAGGTGGGTAGGTCCGAAAAGTACGCTTGGATTCCACGAATTTATCCGCTACTTCCATGAGTGCTTCGAAGTCTTCCGGGTTTGACGCGACAACGAAATTTCTGAACTCTGTCGAGTTACACGAGTTCTCAATCTCGTCGACGAAGTCCAAGATGTTGAAAGCAATCTTGACTTCTCTCATCAAGGAGTGTTTCTCTCTTATGAACGTCGTGAATGATTCATCTGGTTGTCGTCTGCGGCGGTAGAATTCTGCTGGGGATCTCCTCTTCCCCTTAGGGAAGCGAGATAGAGAGTAGAGCTTTACTTTGAAATTCGCCCAAGTTGACGATGCTCCTACTTCTGCAGCGAACCAGTTTTTTTTGTATCTTCGTCCATACAGCGGTATGCGAGGCGCAAAACTTTCTGTTCTGTCCAACCGTTGATGGTGGCGTCTGTTTCGAGCCTTTTGATCCATTTCCTTGGTTTCTCCGGGTTCAATTGCAGTAAATCGCTTACGGGGATTAGGTTTTCGAGCAAGATAGCCAAGTTCTCTACAGTGACCACATTCGGGTATGGCGTTGGCTGTGGCTGCGTTTGAGAATCTCCGTCGCCTTCCATGACCGCTGCCACCAAGTTGTTACGGAATAACGAAGGTGGGAATGAAATCTTTATTCGATCGCTGCATAGCCTTTTTATAGGGATTCACCGGCGCTGGTGGCGCCGCTTCACTATGTAGCCCTATCCCTCATTGCAACTAAATAAATAATGAGTGCCTTACAATATCTCCCTTAAGTATCTGAATGTACCTTGGTCAAGTGTAACTCGCATGGGTGGTTCGTGGGATTGTATGCCGGATTGCTCTCTTTCACTTCGAACGCCGTTATCTGGTAACATTGACCGCCAGAGATTCGGTCATGGTATTCGGTGCACATGTCCCCACTCACGACAACTTGAATATCCGCCGAACCATCGCTCATGACGAATGAGAACAATTGGCCTTGTTCATTATCGTTCTTCCACGTTCGGATCGTACCCTTCGATTCTATTCTACCGTTCACGATACCGCCGATCTTTCCGGGCGTCAGGTCGCTTAGGGTCTCCGCTTTCTTCGCGGGGCTCGCCGGGAAGTGCTTTGAATCTGTTCGAAGGGTAATGGGTGATTTCAACTAATCTATGAGGTGCGCGACATGACTCGATTTTCTTCTAACGTTTATGCTTCGGCTCTGCTCCCTTGGCTTGGTGAGCTTACCTTATCTTGCCGTCCTGGATCCGGCCTGGCTGGAAGATGCGACATTCATCTCGTCTCGAAATCTCTGCTACTTCCGCTGTGAGATTCACACTTCGTTTCCGCTGGATGAAGCATGTGGTTGATCAAGCGACCCGTCCCCCGTTTTATAACGATCGACCTCCGGGATTATGCATCAGCTTCGTGTTTCCTCCCACTTGTTCCTTTTGTCAGGATCTCAGGTACCTACTGCTGATCTTGCTAATCTTCCTCTGGGCCTCGGTCATCGAGCGGCAATATTTAAGTCTTTGAATCTCCCGTTTCAAGCCCATATGATCCGGTAGTTAGACACTGACGGATCCAGGCTGTTTTCCGACCTTCGATGTTTCGAGAGGATCATTTGATCCTGCTGACCGATTCAGTGATTCTTTTACTGGTGACGGTGACTTAACAACCGGTTATTCCTAAAATCGGGTTCTTCCTCTGTTTTAACATGCACGGATGTTTTCCAAATCGTGGTCCCTTGTCCTTTTTCTCCCTCAGTAGCCATGCTCTAAATGTCTCATCGCTCTCTTCTTCCATATATATCGATCATATTCATTACCGGCCGGTGATACGAGAACTACGAAACGTATGGCTTGCAGATTAGGTTCATATGTCTCGTAAATGTCAGGTCTGTGCATGTCCCGCCAAATGTTGCCTCTGAGAGATATGATTTTGAAGCTGCATGGAGAAAGCGCTGTCGAGAAATTTTTCCAATTGTGATCGGTCTCCTCCGGACGTATTGAAATCTCCGATGAGAGGAAGTGGACTTCGTCCCCTTGAAGTATCGATTTTGTGTGCTTGCAATAGTCTGGTAATGAAGCTTTTCATTTTTTGGAGATTCGATGGAGATAAACACCCACAAGAACAAATTCGTCTGCTAAGCGCGGACGGATAGCAGCTGACGAAACTGCGGAAAGTTTTTGGGTGCGAAAGTGTGTGTGAGTGACTGAATGACTGCGTGTGTGTGTGTGTATTGAACGACTGGAACCGGTAGGGCATTAAGTATTTGGCATTAACTATTTGGTTTCGGTGGAAGAAAACAGGCGGAAGCAGCCGATCAAGGAATAAACTTGTGTCGCTCGCTAAGCCTAACATCAGTGCCGAGTGGGAGAATAAGCCCAGATAATGGCATCATCATCATCAAACACCAGCCTACCAAATAAAGGTAGCACGGTGTCCAAAAACACGATCGGGTGCGTCACATGCAAAGAAGCATGGATCGATAAAACCCGCCGGATGCCAAACACGTGCTGCCTGGCTGAGGCCATGAGACAGCGAATCGATACTCCTCAGGCGGAGAACAATCGCCTGAAAGAAGAGAACGCCAGATTGAAGATGGCAGGGATGCACCTCCGGCGACCCGAAGAAGGGAACGACGTGATGGATGCAGAGGACCAACTCCTGGAATCAGAAGGGGAAGGTCCAGAAATTGAACCATGCGTGCGCGAGGAAGAACAGCTGACGCTGACAGAAGACCGCGCAAACAGAGCCAGACCCGGCTCCTCGCAACAGCTGTCAGAACAGCAGACCCGAGAGAGCTTGAGCTCGCCTTCAATGATTTTGGAGAGCGAACGCTGGGCATTTTAAAAAATGCCAGGGTCGAAGATAACCTGCTCAACAGGATGGGAGGGGCCCGCCATACGATGTGGAGAGACTACCGAACAAAGAGCACGGAACATATGTGCGCGGAGGTGAAGTCCATCGTGGACCGGTATGAAAAGACCGAGTTTCACGTCATCGTAATGAGCGGCCTGCACGACATAGAGACCGCCAAAAATCAACAGAACGTACTGGCGGCTCTTACAATGATTATGAGACCGCTGTACTACCTCAAGACCCGGACGGCGCGAATAAAGACGCTCACCTGGGTCACAATCATCCAAGAACCACGCTGCGAGATTACACCCAGCGTGAAGCGGGCGGTACTGGAATCGGAGCAAGCTCGCGCGGGGACAATTATCGCCCTGGACTTCAAAGACATGGCTCCCGAGAATTTCTACAGGACGGCGAAAAAGATGGCTCTGGAGTATACAGAGTGACAGCCAAAGGTGCGAAGGAGCTGGAAAAGTGAATAGCACAGCACGTCAATGAGGTAAGTGGCCTATCGCCTCAGAATCAAGAGGAAATGATGGCCGCTGGTATAGAAGCCTTCAGAAAGAAGAGGGACGACCTGGATATGAGGTACGGGGTTGCGAAGAAACCCAAACCTCGGCCAGTATCTTCAACTACATAAAGAAGAACTTCCCGCTGGTGGGTAGACCCCTTAGGGACTACGATTCCGATGAAGGGGAGGACCGAGGTAGACCTGGAAAAACAGGAGAAGCCGGCCCCGATTCACGAAAGAAGGAACGTGACGAAAGAGCCGTTCACTTTCAAGGGAACCAGCGAAACCGACGGAGGTCGAACTCGAGGTCCGACTCGAGATCTAGGCGAAGAACTAGATCGAGAAGTAGAGGCCGGTCGCCAAGCAATAAACGCTCAAGGGTACAATATCGACCCGAGAGAGACCAGGAGCGACAGAGTCGAGAGCTGTACAGACCCCCCAACTACAGCAACAAGAACAACAACAAAGACCAGCCCGCCCTCGAAGGGATTCACATGAGAACCCCCGAGAGAGACCACGGAGCAGGAGCTGGCAACGACAAAAACAGCAACAGCAACAATAAGGTCCTCGAAGACGTGAGGACCCGCCAAAAGGGTGCACACTTCAGACAGTGTCGACACCCCGGCGCTCCTAACAGAAGGAGAGTACGCCGCCAGCGCCGAGGGAGATCACCGAATGGGAATGAAACAGATCAAGTGAAATCCCTGAGGATCTCAGCCCTGAATATTAACGGGGGGAGAAACTCGAAGAAGAAATGGGCGCTGGTTGAAGAAGAAGTCCTGAAGGCGAACGGCACGGATATCTTATTGGTAAGTGAAACGAAACTTATGAATAAGGAAGCACACCCTAGAATCAACGGATACGAGTGGATAGGGAAAAATAGACAAGGAACTTCAGGGAGGAAAGCCTTCGGAGGAGTCGGAATACTCGC